TCACTTACATACATGTATCATAATGAAGCAAGAACAAACATACATCACACAATCATAGAATCACAACCATCACCTACCTCGAAACAAGCTTGAAACCCTAAGAAACTTGATTCTTCCTTTTCCGAATTCGTTCCGCTTGTTCTTGGTCTACAAAGGATCAATATAATACGGGAATCAATAAACAATCACTAATTACCCGAATTACTAACAATTCTAACAACCCTAGATCATACCCATGATCCCACTATCCAAACTAGGGTTTTTTCCACCATAGATTTCATATCAAAACCTTTCCCCATCGATAAGTACCCATTAGATTACGGTCTACGAATTGAAAAATGGATTCAGGGAGTTAAAACCTTACCTTTAGCCTAAAGAATGGTGGAAATTCTCAAGAAAACACATGGGGTCGTTCCTTAACTCTCAAAGTCAAAAAGTGCAGAATAAAACATTTTTGGGGTTTATTTTCGACTTAAGTCACGTCGGGCCCGCTACAATGGTGCTCACCCTACTACAACGTCCCCGCCCTAGCGACAGAAATCACCGTCAAAGCGTCAGCGTCTTGCACGAAATAGTGAGCTATTTTAATAATTTCAATACCCCCATTTCACAACACGCCTTCAACCAACGACACTCAAATACTACCCGTTCATGCTAAGATCAATTTCGGGAGTTCTACTCGCCTGAATTCAATTCCATAAAGTCGTACAGATTCCTTAACGACTTACCTATCTACTCATGTGATCAAATTCATAATTAGATCACCCAATTGCTACCAGATTTCCCTATACGTTAATGACTCCGATTTCATCCAAAGCTGGACTAGGTTGGAAAATTTCAAGTTACTACGAAAAAGTTTTCCGACCCAAATTTTTTTCCCGTTGGCTTTTCTATAATTACGGAACCGGTCGTTACACATGTTTAAATTCAAATATATTCTTTTTTGTTATAAGCTAAATAATATTTTTAAATATATATTTAGATGTGCATGCAAGTCAATGAATTTGAGTGTAATTACCACCATTAATTCTAAATTAACTATAATTTCAGAAGCTTAAAACTTAAAATCGTGTTTAGAATATGATAGAGTCCCTAAATATGATATGAATTAAATATGATATATACATAGTAATTTCTTGCATTCATGTTGCATTAAATAGGAGTTTTATTGGTTGGAAGAAGGGTTTGAAAATCTTGATTTTAACATAATTTCTATATCTATAGTTAATTTGGATAATTAATAATTAACTATTACAATGTTAAAATTGTTTGCAACCGCAATTGGTCATAACTAGTGCCGGTAAAATGAGTACATATTTTGGTAACCCGCTCAATCCATCCAACCCACCTATATTTTAATGGGTTGGGTGAGTGACATTTTACATGAGTAAAATATGAGTTGATACCCATATTCAACCAATAAAAATATGGGTAAAATATAGGTAAACTATGAGTAAAATATGGGTTAAATATGAAATAGCCAAATGGTTAAGCTTCTAACTTTTATTCACTCAAAATTTATGATATCACTAAAAAAATTTGTAACTTCTCTTCCTAAATGTTCTTTTATAGAACTAATTATTTTTCTCTATAATTGAAAATGTGAAGTCTTTGGCCTTCCAAAAATATACTTTAAATGTACATTTCTTTTGTTAATTATAATTATATTTTTTTATTTGTGTAATTTTATATTGGATAATAAATAATAGTGTAAAATAAGCAAATCATGTATTAGTATTGACATTGCTTAAAGTGCATTAAGCATGTTTTAGTCCTAAAATGCAACTATTCATTTACTTTGAAATTAAAAATATTTTTCCTTTGTTATTACATAAATTTATTTTATATTCAAAAGTTAGGATTTTTTTTTTTACTTTTATGATACAATAAAACTAAATGAAGTATTTTAAACATTTTTCATCTAAAAAAGACTAAAATATTTTCTCCATGTTGAATTTTTAAGTAGAGTACTATTTATTCATGAAAATATGGGTAAATATGGGTAAACTAGTATTTTATCCAATCCATTTTTACCCATATCAAATATGGACGAGTTGAATTATCACCCATTTATGTTAACCCATTTTCAATCCGTTCAAATATGACCCAACCCGCCCATTTACCACCACTAGTCATAACAAGAGGCATATCTTACATTATTATAAAACATCTTTTGTGAATTGTGTTTACAATTTACAAGCATTTGTTTTTTTAAAATAAATAAATTTGGAGCATTGAGCTCTTTTTATTCACTAATAAAGTAGGGCAAATTACAGAAATCACATACTTTTAAGGCAAAATTACAATCTATCCCTTAAAAGTTTATAATTACAGAAATCCCTCAAACGGATACAATAATATAAGCGCTGATACATTAATCTGATGCGCGAAGATACAATAATATAAGCGCTGGTACATGCGCGAGATACAATAATATAAGCGCTGATACATTAATCTGATGCGTGAGATACAATAATATAAGCGCTGATACATTAATCTGATGCGCGAGATACAATAATATAAGCGCTGGTACATGCGCGAGATACAATAATATAAGCGCTGATACATTAATCTGATGCGTGAGATACAATAATATAAGCTCTAATACACTAATTTGATGCGCGAAAATGATGGATTTTAGAGATTTGTAAAACTTATAAGCGATAATGGTAATAAGTAAACTAAAATGTGAGATTTTTGTAATTTTTCTTATAAAGTATGTACTAGCAGGGGCCAATCCAAAACTAGGATTAGCCCAAAAGGAAAAAGCCCAGTCCATTAAAATGAACCTTTAGGTATTTATAAAGAAACCCTAAAAAAATAAGGGTTCATAAATTTGTGCTCCTCTTTCTTGTCTCCATATTGCTGCTTGGAGCTTTGTGGAATTCCACCTTCCTCCCCCATTCGTTGCGGGTCATTAACCCCTTTCTCTTATTCTTCCTATTATCATTCTTGCTCAGCTTGCAGAGATTTTATTTGAAATTCAAAATCAAATAAATATTTAGGAGAATACAAAAGCTACCTAAAGTTGCAGAGATTTTCTAAATTTTTGTTGCCTCTAGATCCAAAGAAGGGAAACCATAGTTTCTTCTTCATTTCTTCACGGTTCTTTTTCAAGGAAGGCAAGGAGATTCATTTCTCTTTCCAAATCGCATTTTTAGATCTGAGCAGAGTTAGGTGAGTGCTATTTTTTTTTTAAAAAAAAGAAGATTTAATGTCTTTGTTCTCTAATTCTAACCAACAATTTTTTTTATGTCAGGATGTAGATGATTTGGTTGGATATGTTCCTCCAGTGAGACTTGATGTTGTATTTTCTATGTGGAATTCAAAAAAGAGTTGGTTGTTGATTCTTCAGGTTTTTCCTTTCTTATGATATTCTATAAAGTGACTGATTCTTTATAGCTAAAGAAGTAACAATTTTGATTCTGTGAATTTTGAATAATTGAAAAGAAATCTTTAGTTGTGTATGAATGCTGAGCCAAATTGCTTTATGTTTCAAATCTTCTAAAACCCCCCATTTTCATGATATATACAACAGTGTAATATCATGTAATAATGAAATATTGTTCCCCTATGTATTCATTCTGCTTTATTTCTCTAGGTCATATCCTCAAATTAGGTATTAGCAACTTTTTTAAATTAATAACCTTTCTTTCGTTGCTTGGAAGTTCGCAGAAGGTGGGAAAACATTGTTGTTCAACCTTTTCAAAGGCTATATTAGCAATGTAATCTGCTAATGAATTTCCCTCTCTGAAAACATGTTGAAGCCTCACTTGACATAACTGAGCTAGATCCTTAATGTCTCCTATTATAGTAGAAATCAACCAGGGAATCTTCTAAACTCCAGAAAGAATATGAACCATAATTGAAGAATCAGTCTTCAAAATCACCTTATTGAGGCTCATAGAAACACAATGATAAATGATATTTTCGATTGCAATTGCTTCTTCCTCAGTATCTGTTGTCTCATGAATTTCCTCCCTTTGAGCATATATTAGATCTCCTTTATGATTCCTTAAACAATAACCATAGGAACTCTTGTGGGGATTGTCTCTAGACGCGCCATATGTATTACATTTAAACACTTTCCGTCAGGTGGTTTTCATGTGTTAGCTAAAGAGAAAAGTTTAGGTTAATAGTTTTGCAGTAAAACCACCATGTCTAGCCAGTTGGTAGGTACTTGATTAATAGGGCAAGTGATTTTTACTAGTCTTCATATACTTGGGGTCACCTGATAAACAAGACTATTGTATGACAATTTCTTCCCATTCTTAATGTTATTTCTCCTTTTTCATAATTCATAAATGCCACATAACTATTGTTGGAATAGCCAAACTTATAGATCTCAGTTTTGGACAGAATGGTGTTGTCCACCACTGAATGATCACCTGTGAAAGTTGTAGGTCATCTAAATGTATTCTTACAAAAAATAGCAAACTGCCTCCACAACTTTACGAGCACCCGATCACTTGCCTAAAAACACTTTTAATTACTAATCAAAATATTTATATTTCATAATTAGGAAAATATGGTTAAATAGGTTTATTTGTATGCTAAGTAAAAGTTATAAGATGAAATTTATGTAATTCTACCTACTATCTTGATCACTAATCGTATCTTTCTTAATTAAATAAAACTTAAATAAGTTTCATTGTTCTTTAAATGTATGAATTAAATTAAATGTATTTTTTAAATTGAAAAATGTGATCCTACCTAAATTAATTTTTAGGATACTGATTTTTGTAAATCCATTTTTTGACTGCACGAAGCATGAGTATATTTACTAGATATTATATATTTTTGTTAATTTGAGTTGAAAGATGAGTATTTCGGTACATATTACACTATTGATCTTCTTTTGCTTCACTCTCTTTCGACCCTCTTAGACATCCTCCATGAAAAGTAGAACTCTCTTCAACCTTGCTTAGCATATAGTAGTCAATCATTATATAGTTAAACAAATAGAGATAAATGAACAAGTCAATTATATAAAAGCGTAACAAGAATTCTTTTTACAAAATGTTTTATCAAAACTCTAGAAAATAATATAGCTGCTCATAATAGAGTTTAAGAACCTAATATAGATTTACATAAAAAAGAATAAGTACTAAAAGAGTAGAAGTGAATGAAACTCTAGGGGGAATTGCAAGTTATGCTCTTCCCCTCTTTCTTGCCCCCCAAAAGCTCCAAAACTGCAAAAGCAGTGTCCCCCTTAGGCCATCAAGTTAATGCACTATTTATACCGCACATATTTACTCTGTGGATAACAATATCTTTCAGTCAAAATAAATCCAAACTCAGTAATTTTTGGTCATACACGAAGCGGTATGGGTAGTGTGGCCATGTTGTGCATGGTTGACTCCGGTAACTCTCTTTTTAGCCTTGATCCATGTTTTCCTCTTGGCGCAGCGCGGGCCTGGTAGCATGACCATGCTGCATACGACTTGTTGTTGAACTCTCACAATTCTCTTGACATTTTTATGTCCATTTGACTCTCGACTCTCAGACTCAATCTTGATCACATTCCTCATGCCTCTATTCCGACTTTGAAGCTTCATAACACTTCATTTTTTTTCTTCAAACATGCCTATTAGCTCTAACAAAACTTTTATGCAAAGAAGCACACGTAATAAGCACATAATGATTATAAAAATGATTAAATGATGGTAGAAAAATACATATGAAGACTTTATGACAATTAAATGTATGTATTTTATACTGAATATCAGTTATCATCAACGTCTTATTTTTCTTTTTAATTTGTTTGAAAAGAACTTCATGTTCGATATTAGTAAAATCTTCATGATTTTTTTTTTGCATTATATATACTTACCATATATTACATGGTCAAGATTACTAGATTTGAGGCGCAATGAGATTATGTTTTTAAAATCTCAAATTTAAAATAAGAATATTTTAGAGTCTTTTTCCCATTCTTCAATATTTCATCTGCACGTCATTTTCATTTTTGTGTGCTTCAACAACCATAATCCCTCTTTATTCCTGTCAAAAAATCATCTTTTTTGGTTATTTTGTTCAAAGCTCATTCCTCCTTCATTTTGTTTTAGAGTTTTCACAAATTTTTTCATTCAGAAAAATATTCTTTTTTCAAGAAGTAAGTAAAAATGTTGTCACATAAAAATGAAATACCACCTCCACTTGATTTTCCAAGACCTTTGACTTAGATTTCATCTAGAGATAGTACTGATGATATTGATACTATAATCACAAGCAAACATCAATGCCAATTTGGTGATTGGACTTCTCTTTGTAGGAGGTGCATTTTAAGAAAAAGAGGATTTCCAAAATCTCTTTAGCCCCACTTATTCACGCCTTTCTCCATGACCTCACGATCATAAAGATTTTGGAAATCCCTTTTTCTTGAATTGTGCCTCCTACAAAGAGAAGTAATCACTAGCTTTGCATTGATGATCGTGTGTGATTATAGGATCATCAATACTATTTGTAGATGAAATCTTAAGCAAAGGTTTTGAAAAAACAGGTGGAGGTGGAGGTGATGTTTCATTTTTCTGTGATGACATTCTTACTTCTTCTTGAAAAGAGAAATTCTTTCAGGATGGAAAATGAGTGATAGCTCTAATGCAAAACGAATAAGGAAAGAGCTCTGAGAGAGAAAGATGACTGAAAAAGATAATTTCTTGATAGGAAATGTTCAAAAAAAAAAGATAATTTCTTGACAGGAATAAAGACGGATTTTGGTTGTTGAAGCACACAAAAATTAGAATGAAGTGCAGATGAAATAGTGAAGTGTGGGAAAAATACTCTAGAAATATTCTTAATTGAAATTTGAGATTTTAATAATATAATCTCATTGTACCGCAAATCTAGTGCCAAAATATTAACATTTAGTAGTACAATATTTTCCTTATATATAGATGGAGTCTTAATTAAGTAAACTGTATATATGTTTGTATAATTCATAAAAATAGTTCTATTTGTGCAAGGAGGCAATCCTAAGGTTTGTATTTTCCCAAGAAGTACAATATTTAATAAATTAATATTTCTCCTTTCCTTTTTTGTTTTAGTTTGCTTATGTATCGTTCAACTTCAATTATTTAAATTTACTTTGAAGGAGGAACATTCTTTTTCTGTAAGATTGTCCCTTTATAAGAGACATAAGTATTTGATTTTTAAAAATAGTGAAAGAAAACTACACACCAACAATTATTTCTAGAAACCTGGTTCCTATAGTCATATTAGAACAAAAGTAATTAACACTTGATATTTTCGTAGAAAACTTCCTTGCTCAAGGGAATAAAAAAATCATGACCTACAGTGTGTAGGATTTTAAGCAACCTCCACTAACTTCAAAGAGCGATTTCAAATTACAACTCTATTTTCTAAGAGAATAACTCTAGTACCTCAACTCAACAGTTAACTCTAATTGTTCTAACAATTCTCTAAGAAGATAAGCCCTCTTCTTGTTACAAACCTCACTAACTACTCTCCAAGAAGTCAAACTTTCTTCTTGTTACAATATTCACTAACTACTCTTCAAGAAGTCAAACTCGCTTCTTGTTACAAACCTCACTAACTACTCTCCAAGAAGTCAAACTTTCTTCTTGTTACAATATTCACTAACTACTCTTCAAGAAGTCAAACTCGCTTCTTGTTACAAACCTCACTAACTACTCTCCAAGAAGTCAAACTTTCTTCTTGTTACAATATTCACTAACTACTCTTCAAGAAGTCAAACTCGCTTCTTGTTACAAACCTCACTAACTACTCTCCAAGAAGTCAAACTTTCTTCTTGTTACAATATTCACTAACTACTCTTCAAGAAGTCAAACTCGCTTCTTGTTACAAACCTCACCCACACAACTACTCTCTTTAGTCTAGGAATTATTACAACTCAATAATAAATCTAGAACAATTCAACAAAGACTAATAACTCTAGCCTTTTTCTAATCAAACTTCAATATTCAATAGGACAGACTTGAACATAAATCGTGAACCATGTTCCTGTATTATTATGATGAAGTCCTATAGTTTTGTTCTAATGACTATTGCTATCAAGATGATATCATTGAGTACTAAGCAAGATACTTTATGGATCAAATGGATACACAATTTATATATAAAAGACAAGACACTTGATTCCATGGTGACACTCAATTCTCAGTTGTATGGAGGAAAAGAAGAATCATACAAAATTAGAAATACGAGAAGAGATGGATTTCAAGAAAGGCTGCTGGTACAAGCCCAAAAGCTGGTATTCTGGGGTTCCTCTTCGCAACAACTACGGGACGAACGAAATGCTAGAAAGTGGTTCATGATGCTGGCCAAGTTGGACTCCTTTCCTATTTAGGCATATAATTTTTTTCTTTTCTATATGGTTAGGATTCAATGAATAATTTGTAGGACTAGTTCTAGAGTACAATGACCTAGTGGTTTTGTAATTCTTACACTTGGTTAAAATAAAATCTTTCATTTTTGACCAAAACAAACAGTTAACTTAACTTTTCTAACAACTATCCAAGAAGATAAACTCTCTTTTTGTTAACAAACCTCACTAACTACTCTCCAAGAAGTCAAACTCTCTTCTTGTTACAGTCTTCACTAAGTACTCTTGTTTGACTTCTTGTTACAAACCTCACCCACACAACTACTCTCTTAAATCTAGGAATTATTACAACTAGGGGCGGATTTACACGGAGTTCAGGGGGTTCACCCGAACCCCATGAATCAAAAAATTATACTGTCTATATATATATATATATATATATTGAATCCCCTCAACACAAGTAAGTGGCTTGGTTCATCGGCTATGGGGGTTCAAAAACTAGTAGTCGTATGTGTTTAAATCTGGCTAGCAACATTTTTCAATGTTTTAGCTTGAAATCTAGTATAACTTAATTGTCAACACTATTTAACATGTTTTTTAACCCCTCAACAAAAATTTTAGGTTCTCCACTGATTACAACTCAAAAATAACATTGATTACAACTTAATAATAAACCTAGAGCAACTCATCAAAGACTAGTAACTCTAGCTTTTTTCTAATAAAACTTCAATATTCAATAGAACTACTTGAACACAACTAGTAGTGAACCAGGTTCTTGTATTACTGTGACGAAGTCATGTAGTTTTTCTCCAATGGCTACTGCTCTTAAGATGATCTATTTCATGAATATGCAATAATTGCGGCTCTTAATGGTCTTCATGCCATATATACTGGAGATTTGTCTTGCCCTAGTATATCACGGATCATGACTTTTACTTCGGATAGGACTTGGTCTCCTATAAGGAAATTTCCAATTTTCTTCCTTTAAAAGAGTTTCATCCTATAAGGAAACTTTGACTCCTCTTTGGACTTTAATTTTACTCCTATTTCTTTCCTTTTCTGCTCTTTTACTTAAGCTGTTTCTTTTTTTGCTCCTTTATTTCTGTAATTTATTAGTTACTTTCTTTGCTGCAATCTCCCATATGTATACAGGCTGTCTGCATTCACGTCTAGGGATCTGGTTCACCTGATATAATCTATATAAGACAACAAGTAGCAAACAACGTTCACTTTATCAATCATCAAAACTACTTATATGTTCTCCTATTTCTCAACAATTTCCCCCCTTTTTGATGATGATAAACAATGCAACATAGTTTACTTTGTCATACATCAAAACTACATACTACTGTTACATTTCTATAGGACTAAACTGTTAAAGTCGCCTTTGGTAGGAAAAACATCACGCCAAAGTGAGACTTTTTTTGTATGAATCTTGATTAATCAGCCCCAATCATTTTTATCAAATTCAAATTCACATCTATTTAAATATGATATGATTTCAAAGTTTGAAAATTTGTCTTACTTTGCTAGACCCCAAAACTTAAAACATGTTCAACTAGAGAAACTTACATACTAGTATGCATTATCATCATTTTATGTTTTACTTCTCTCTTTATTTTACATAAGACATTAGCCGTCGAGTGGTGGATTCAATCCCTCCGAGAGCTTCATTCTTGTGTCCCTCAATATCCCACTACACTACTTTAGTTGCCTTTATTTGATTAATGACTTTTCCGACCTCAACTTGTGCAATTCTATGGGATGCTTTATGTTTTTGCTCATCATCTTTCGTGCACTTCTCATCTTGTTCAATATCAGCAACCTCTCGTTTCGATCTACGTATCAATTTTCTTGCATCATCTATTTGAATCTTCAAATGTTCTTTTTTCTCCTTATTATTTCATGTATTTCTTGAGTATGTTAGATTTCCTTTCTAATATCATATGCACGAAGAAATACATTTAAAACTTTTTTCTCCAATTCTGAAACAGAACATATATCTTTATATCTCTCTACAGTAAGTAAATCATATTTATAAGCAGTCATATTCTTGGCATCTTCATAGAATGATCCATAATCAACATCGATCCAATTCAATGTGGAGAAAGCATGCATAATTGACAAAATAAACCATGTTATTCACGCTAGTAGTCGTCCATAAGTGAGAAGAGAGATAAGAATAGACTGAACTTCATCAATCAACGCTTTTTTTCGTGTATTTGACTTTAGGAAGAATATGTTTGTTTGGATGACTCTAATCTTGATAAAGGATTTAGTTTTAGCTTTGTCTATTAAGATTGGAGACACCAAACCAAACACATTCTTCCTAAATGCATGAAAAATCTAAAGAGTGTTGACTGGTGAAGTCCAGTCTATGTTGGTGTCACATCTCACTTCTGAGATGACTACTAGTGTGGATGACGGGGTTTATTTTGCAAAATCTTCTTTCTTCAAATTGAATTGGATCGGTGTTGATCATGGTTCATTCTACGAAGATGCCAAAACATGATTGTTTGTAAATATGGTTTACTCATTGCAGAGAGACAAAGATATGTGAATGTTTCAGAATTGGAGAAAAAAGGTTTAGACGATGTTCTTCGTGCAAATGATATTTTTAAAAGAAAATTGAACATACTCAAGAAAAATAGGAAAATAATAAGGAGAAAACGAAACATTTGAAGATACAATAGAAAATGAAAGAAAATTGATTCATAGATTGAAACGAGAGGTTGCTGATATTGATCCAGATGAGAAGTGCACATAAGATGATGAGCAAAAACATAGAGCAACCTATAGGATTGCACAAGCTTAGGTAGAAAAAATCATAAATCAAACAAAAGAAGCTAGAGTAGTGCAGTGGGATATTGAGCGACACAAGAATAAAGTTCTCCAAGGGATTGAATCAACCACTTGATTGCTACTGTATCATGTAAAAGAAAGAGAGAAGTAAAATATGAAATGATGATAATGCATACTGGTATGTAAGTTTCTCTAGTTGAACAAATTTTAAGTTTTTGGATCTAACAAAGTAGGATCAATTTTCAAACTTTGAAACCACATCCTCTTTAAATAGATGTGAAGTTGAATTTGACAAAACTGATTGGGGTTGATTAATAAAGATTCGTAGAGAAAAGTTCCACTTTGGGGAGAAACTTTTCTTACCAAAGAAGACTTTAACAGTGTATTCGTAGGGAACTGTAATAATAATATCCCTATTTTTTAAAAATCAAACACTCAAGTCTCTTTTAAAGGGACAATCTTACCCAAAAAAAATGTTTCTCCTTTAAAGTAAATTTAAATAATTGTAGTTGAACATAAATAACCATACTAAAACCAAAAGGAAAGGACAAATTTCAATTTATTAAAAATATTGTAATTTTTGAGAAAATACAAACATAAGAATTGCCTAGTTGAACAAATAGAACTATTGTTATGAATTGTACACACATATATAGTTTACTTAGAGCATGTTTGAATTGAGTTGGTCAAACCTACTTTTAGGTCATTTTAACTTTTTAAAGTGTTTGGCGGGATTAAAAATAACTTACAATAAGTTTAAAATGACTTAAAAATCAAAAGTAGGTCTCCCCCTACTTTTTATTTGTTGATTTAAAAATAATTTCAATTTGACTTTTTTATTTTTGGACTTACAAGCTACTTTTTAAGCCAATCCAAACGGGCTCTTAATTAAGACTACACGCACATATGTACACACACATATATATGGAAATTATTGTACTACTGAAGTCTAACAGTATGACACTAAAGGTCATATTTCAAATTGAATAATAATATGTAGGGCAAGCGATGTTACGTTTCTTAAAATACCTCTTAACCTCTTGTTGCAACATATATCTTTTTGCAATTGAGCATCACCTGCTTCAGCCTGAAATAAATGGAATGTACACATTGAAGAAGTAATTTTGATAACGTGATACTAGATACACATTCATGAGAAAAAACTAGATATACACTAGATTAACCAATTTTCTCGTTGGCTTGTCAAAAAAATTGAGCAAATCATGCAAAATACTAGTCATCCTGAGGGGTTACCCGTCCTCAGTTTGTTCTTAACTAAAAAATCACCATAGCTTTAAACATAAACCCAGAAAGCAATAGAGCAAATACTTTCAATGCAACAAACCAATGGTTACCAACTTAGCATTTTATAGAACTACAATAGAAATTAAAGATTCATCACCACTTAACAAGGGCAAATCTATGAATTCACTAAAGTTACAATAAATAGTATCCTTAAAATCTTTTTCAATCATAAATCTTCCTCAGCTAATTAACTCAGGAATAGAATAGCAATCAATTTACTATAATATAGAAAAGCTAACAATAAAAACACTAAACACAAATATGAATGTAAAATTATTCACTTATATTGAAAACTATAAATAAAGACTTGAAAAGAATTTTTAGTAAAGTTTTAACATGTAAAGCCTAATTTAAGTAAGTTACATTTTAATGGAATTAACATGTACAGGATGTTACCCGAAAGTTATTCTTGAACTAATGAATGTGTCTGTTCTTACTAGGATCCATTTTTGCAAGTCATCTTCAAGTACATGCCTTAAAAACATTCATCACTTAATGTCATTCGAGTAACAACGACAGGCTCATGAAGGTCATTCACATACCAATGAAAAGGAGAGTGGCGGCTAAGTGATATCTAGGGTTTTGATGGCTAAAGAATGAAGCCTTTATAGAGCAGAAAATTAAGACCTTGCACTTCTTAAATTTTCTTAAATATAAGTATATTATTTGTTAATTACTCCTTGTTTACTTGTGACTAAATGCATATATAGCCCTTTAAATTTAGCATTAAATGTCAGTCTGATAATTCAACCTTTTTAATAATTATTCAGATGATAAATGTGTCTCTTAAACATCTCACGCTAATACGACAAATTATGTGTCTAATACTTATAGTGTATTTGCTAAGAAATCGCTTCATACCCAGGGGCGGATCTACATGGTGTCAAGGGGGTTCACCCGAACCCCCTTCGTCGGAAAATTACACTGTATATATAAGGTCAAATTCTGTTTCCATGTGTATATATATTAAAATGAACCCCCTTAATATAAGTAAAGAGGCTGGCTCAGTGGTTAAGGGTGTTCAAGAATTTGCCTGGACGCCTTGGGTTCGATTCCGCACGGCAACACTTCTTTTTCTTTTCTTCATTTAGAAAATCAAATAGCTAGGCTGAGATGGGCTCAATATTTTTGGGCTGGAGCTTTATTATTACTTTTTGGGCTTATTTTTTTCAATGTTATTTCTCCTTTTCAATATTCATTTGTTTGAATATAGGGAATTAGGCACATTATTTTCATTTTTTGTATTTTATTCTTTTTATCTCTATTGCTCATTTTATTTTTACGTAACTCTTTTTTTATATAGTAATTCAAAGGAACTTTTTAAAAAACTGTCAATTATTCTTAAACTTGAATTTGAGATAGAGAAAAAATATTTTAAAGATAAGTTACACTAAATTTAATCGAACGAACAAATTTGAAAGGCATGATTATTCATGATATTTTTTTCTCATTTTTTCATTTCTATTCTAGAGAGATGTAAACTACATTTATTTGATTATTCTTCTTTTATTTTTCACCGATTGAAAACCTTATTAATTGAATAAATGAACAAAAAATTGGCGATGCCATTTATTTATCCTTTTAATATGCATTATCAGGGGCGGATCTACATGGTGGCAAGGGGGTTCACCCGAACCCCCTTCGTCGGAAAATTACACCGTATATATAAGGTCAAATTCTGTTTTCATGTGTATATATATTAAAATGAACCCCCTTAATATAAGTAAAGAGGCTGGCTCAGTGGTTAAGGGTGTTCAAGAATTTGCCTGGACGCCTTGGGTTCGATTCCGCACGGCAACACTTCTTTTTCTTTTCTTCATTTAGAAAATCAAATAGCTAGGCTGAGATGGGCTCAATATTTTTGGGCTGGAGCTTTATTATTATTTTTTGGGCTTATTTTTTTCAATGTTATTTCTCCTTTTCAATATTCATTTGTTTGAATATAGGGAATTAGGCACATTATTTTCATTTTTTGTATTTTATTCTTTTTATCTCTATTGCTCATTTTATTTTTACGTAACTCTTTTTTTATATAGTAATTCAAAGGAACTTTTTAAAAAACTGTCAATTATTCTTAAACTTGAATTTGAGATAGAGAAAAAATATTTTAAAGATAAGTTACACTAAATTTAATCGAACGAACAAATTTGAAAGGCATGATTATTCATGATATTTTTTTCTCATTTTTTCATTTCTATTCTAGAGAGATGTAAACTACATTTATTTGATTATTCTTCTTTTATTTTTCACCGATTGAAAACCTTATTAATTGAATAAATGAACAAAAAATTGGCGATGCCATTTATTTATCCTTTTAATATGCATTATAATATTAGTAACTCAATCCCCACACGTTTGTAAAGAGTATCAAACAATTTTAAAGTAACATATGATTGAATGAACACGAATTTAATTTATTTAATAATTCAAAATAAAGTAAAACAATAAAAAAATAAAAGAAAAAAAAATCACTTTTTTAAAAAAGAAAATCAATGAAGCAGGGTAAAAGTAGGAAACAAAGTTAAACGCGGCTTGACAAGGCAAATTAAATTTAACAGATTAAGGATAATTTTTTTCTTCCCCGATTCGTTTTGCTCCATTTTTTTATTTACTTCTTTATATGTTGAACCCCCTCCACGAAAATCCTGGCTCCGCCACTGTTCATACCTAGTAAAGAAGCAACTTATTCATATATTAGACTCACATGATTTTCGTAAATTGTATTCTTGTCTTATTGAATATTCCAATTAAACAAATTTCAAGTCTAAATTTCTCACCAACATCCATGTGAAGGATCAGAAAATAACATCACACCAATTCTCTCAAAAGATAATAAATTATTTGCATAAAATATTTACATACATCTAATGAATACAAAATGTGTATTTTAATATTACTTAGTAAAGTTATTATATATTTTAGTTATCTCAAAGTTGAAAGATGGGTATTTCGTTAATATCACTATCAACCTTCTTTTGCTTCACTATTTCCTCGATCCCCTTACACATTCTTTATAAAAAGTAGATTTCTTTTCAGTCTTTCTTTGCATATAGTAGTCAATCTATCATCTCCTTTTTTGTGTAAGTCGCCCTATTAGATTTAGGAAACTTTATTTATAATAGAATTATTTCTCAAGTAGTATGTAATAAATTTGCTAGTTTGGAAAATAATATTAATGCAATAATTGAGTTTATTATCATATGTGAATGTATGCATATCTGGACATAGTTACCTTAGTCAAATCGTGTGAAAATAAAGAAACAATATCATATTAATTGAATGCAAACAATAAATATGAGATGCTAGGATTTTGATTTGTCATTATCTTCTTTTGATAGTTTTTTTCATTTTATACTTATTCTAATGGTGGAAAACAAAGAGTTTTTTTTTTACTTTTTCTTTAATGGAAATCATGAGGGATTTTAAATTCGTTGAATGCAAATGAACTGCATGCAAGTTATTCACAATGGACTATTTCAATTAAGGTTAGCCAATGAGCTAAGATGTCTCTATATCTTGCCTCAACATGTAGTTGCACGGCTATTATTTCCATCATCTTTATTCAAAACCCTCTCTACGTAAAGCATTTATCATATTATTATTTTTTATAGATAAGAGAGATTTATTAGCATATAAAGGAAACTTTGAATATTTGTTTAGCAGATAAAAGAGGTTTTACAAATCTAATACTAGGTTAAATAAGAGGTTTTTGGTTAAAAATGAGTTGGGTCTAATATATTTTTTTTGGGTTAAAAACCAAGTGATGCATCATTAATTATATAGTATTTTAATACTTCCTCTAGTTTGACTTGGTAAGGAGTTTAAGAAAATAAAGATAACTTTTCAATCTTGTGGTCATAAGTTAAAGTTGTGTCAAATGTACCAAAATGTATTTTAATTTTGTGGTCTTAAACAAGTCACGTGGAAAGCTGAAATTAAAGTGTTGCAAAAAAAAAGAGGTAATTTTTTTAAACAAACCATTCTTTTTTAAACGGAGGGAGTATATTACTTTCCATCTTTGATTAACCTTTTGACTGAAATAATAAAATATAAATAACTTTTTGGATAAAAAAGAAAGAAAAATGATCTTTTTAGTGAAATAACAAATATATGTGACTTTCCTAATGTGAAAGAAAAAATATATAGTTTTGTTACCAAACATGCTATTGTATTTAATAGTTTATTAAAATTTTCAGATTTTTGAAGAAGTCAAAACAATTCATTTGACTTACCAGCCTTTGCTCAATGGTCAGCAAATATATTATACCTCTAATCATTTTTTTTTAAAGCAATTAATAGTTCTGAAGATGAAGATTGTTGCAACAAAAGATTTTCTTCTTTTGAAGATCATCATTTTGTTATTCTTCATTTTAATAGTAATTGAAGGTGAATACACTTCTTTCATGGGTCAGTTATTCCATTATACAAGTGTATAATCGTACTCTCCTAGTCCAGTAGGGGGAAGTGTCATGACCCAACCAATTGGGTTGTACAAGACCTAGACTAACACCTAGATAGGAGTACCCTTACCACTCAAAGCAGTTTAAACATGAGGGAAACAATTGATTTACTACAAATTCATAAGCCTTTGAGAAGAACAAAACTTTATATGAACTATTTTACAAATACCGAGAAACAACTCTCAAGGAACTATTCTAAATAGGTATAAGAGCGACTAACAAGATACATATTGGACAAGAAAATAGAACACAACCCCCATCATAAGGAAAGGAAACATGGAAGTTGTTGAAGATCAAAGTCACAACTCACATGTACCTATGCAACATCACTAACCCGTACAACCAGACTATGCCAAGTGGCACAATAAGAGTAGTATCAGTACAAACAACATGTACCAGTAGACATCATCAGTCGACCCGAATCTACCACATAATATCAAGTAAATAGATAGACAATTATGCAACAAGAATTACACCACCTCACTTCTCAATTCTCTTATCTCGACCCTTCGCGGGTTAAACCAAGACTATGTACCTCCATTATGCCACGTTGATACACAATTGAAACCTAACATATCTACCACATTTATGTCACTGACAATTGAAACCTAACATATCTACCACATTAATGTCACTGAGCTTAAACTCGGGCAGGAATTACCCTCTTCCATTGTTGATGAAAAATTTACAAAGGACATGACAAAATCATTTGGACTGCTGAATCAAATGGTAAGTTTACTTGTAAATCTGCAGGCATGCTGCTTAGAAATGCTAAACCTTCCACTCTGACTGCTTATAGCATATGGCACCCAAAAATTCCCTTCAAAGTGGCTTTTTTCATGATGAAGCTTATGAGAGGGAGGATTGCAACAGATGATAAAGTCAGAAAATTTAAAGTTCATGGACCCTCTATTTGCAACTGTTGCAAGACACATCATGAAGAGAACATTCAACATCTTTTTGTGGATGGATAAAATTTGGTAATTGTTGTGGGATCAAAATTCACAAAGGATCTATCAGAGCTATGGTAATGCAGTGGTGGATGACAAAGACAAACAATAAAATTCAGGAGACAATGCACCAAATGTCTTCCTACTACATATATTGTGCTGGGAGATATGGAAAAACAGATGCACTTCTAGATTTGAAGGCATTAAGGCGTCCACCTATAGAATTATTAAGCAGGTTACATGGTTGATGACTCTTATACTCAACAAACAGTTTCCTTGCCTTAACTTTACAGGAAACTCGAAGGAGCTGTGCACCAAAATTGAAAGAGTCAACCCTGTCTTGAATATCAATTTTATTAAATGGAGAAAACCTCCTGATAATTACCTCAAGTTGAACACTGATGGATGCTCAAAAGGTAATCCTGGGGAGGCTGGTGGTGGTGGTATACTAAGGGATCATCAGGGTAATATCAATATGGCATTTCAGACCTATTTTGGTAATTGTAGTAACAACATGGCTGAAGGATTGGCTATCCTAAAAGGCCTTCAATGGTGTGTTACTAATCATTTACATAATGTCATTATTAAGACCAATTTTATGATTATGAAGGGTAAGAATGTTATGATGTGGCAAATGCAAGATATTGTTATGCAAATAATAAAGATCATGAAAGAAGACAATTTCCAGATTAATCATTGCTTTAGAGAAGTAGCTGATGCACTAGCCCAAAATACCAGTACTCTCAGTTACAACAACATGAACTAGTATTAACACTTGCAACAACAATGCCTAGCTACATGTGTCACATAATTACAACACAATTACCTGGTTTTCTCATGTAACCACTAGTACATATTGGTCCTCTCACAAGACCCAAACCAAACTGTAGTATCATACTAGATATGGAATTCAAACCAACTGTATATAATCATATTAGGTGTGGTATCCGAGTCAACAAACAATATCATATACTGGCATGGTACCCGAGCCAATCAACAAGCACATCAAGCATGCATAATCACACAACACAACAAGCATGCATAATCACGTAGCACAGTGAACTACACCACTTGAACCAACAAGTTACAATCACAAGTCATTTCATATGCTTACTATTACACATTACACAATATGACCCTACAAGCAATAAACATGCATATATACATAACACAGAAGCATACAACCATCACCTACAGATATCAATGGCTCCCATATAGAGCCCCATTATGAGTATACACACGTTCCTTTGATTACCATGAGTTCCATAAATGGCTATAAATCAACAATTTCATGAATGCCTAACCTTAATTACAATTAATATCAAGTCACCCCAATAAAGAAATTACAGATTAACAACCAAGCGCTAGAGAGCTATCATCTAGTCATCATCTTTTTCCACCCTAACAACAATTACAATAATATTTAACCATCCAAACTTCATGCCTGAAGACCTAGGCATGAAATCTCTGAATATATACATGATAGTATGCGATAAAAACAGGTCTAACTATAAATTTTGAAGAAAACATTAGCATATTTGAGCGCCAAAGCAGCCGCTGATGAATCTTTTCCCAGAATACTGCCTCATGGAATCACCCTTTGGTGAACGACATGGAAAATCTGTAGACTTTCTCCTTCCTAGTGCAGAAATTCTCCCTCCTCCGTTGCTCCCTTGCCTCGGGTGCTTCTAGAGATTTTTAGAGCAACCCTCGTTTATTTTCTCCTTCCAAATGTGGGAGGAAAATAAAAGATGACACATTAATTAGGTTGGTAATTTTCAACACCTCGCTATAGCGGGACTCAGACCGCTATAGCGGCGTTGCCATAGCGAGGGACCTTCCGCTTGATGAGATGACCTCAACTCAGCCAAAAAATAATCTAAGCCAAAATCTATCGTGCTCAAATTTTTGAAATTCTTACACTATCCTACCAAACCTTTGGGACTCTGCACGAGGTGCCCTTTCATAACGACGATGGATCAGATCGTTACACTCACATGCCTCTAAGAGAGTGAGCACACACTCTCTGTGCCACCTCAGCATCAAAGGGTGTATTTATTATACTTTAAAATAATTCACAAGGGTAATAGGATCCATGTATCATGTATAGTTAAGGTGTGTCGCTGAGATTTCGCCTATGCCTTCCCCCAAAATTTTATGCACGATCAATATATAGATTTTAACACTATCAAATTATCTTTACATGTTATACCGATCAACCTATCTTATTTTTAAAATTGCATCTTTCACTTTTTATGGAAGGATACCTATATTGATACCTTTTTGAATAGCTGATAGTGAGAATTTCTTACACTTCAATATATGTATAATAATTAACTTAGATTCTACCAAAATTAAGGTAAATAAATTATTTTATGTTTCAAGTAATACACGTTTATCACCTCCTATCGAACAAAATTACATGATAAGGCAGATATAGTTTGCACGTTTGAACTGAATTATACGATTGTGGCCCATATATATGTTAAGAGCACACATGAATCGAAACGAATCTAAGATTTGAAACTTACGAATTTCAATTTTTCCGCTAGTAAAATGAACTTGTCATAGGATAATTAACACCTAACCGAGCTAACTTTACTCTTTAAAATTTGTTTCCATACATGCATGTTGTTTCTTAATTATAGGAATCAACAGAACAAATTGAAAATTGCATACTTGTAGAAGCTTATTTAGTTGACATAAGATAATATATAAATGTGTCTTTTAATTTGGCGTTAGCTGACATCCATGCCCTTCAACTTTAAGTTAAACACTTAAACTTGTATCAAAATTGAAAACATAGCTAGGCTCATGAGTCCAACAAGATAATTTGTGTGAGATAGACTCGTATTTATTTGTAAGACATTATACAGGACACATGTGTCTACTTGTACACATCCAAAGATGGAAGGAATATATTTCAGCTGAAGCCTAATTAAAGGCACAGTTATGTATTATGTCTTTAGACTTACAAATTTAGAGAGAAGGTTGTCATCAACATTGCAAAATATGAAATAGATATTAGGACTAACTCAACCCTAGAAACTTTTATTCATGAGAAAAATACAACAACTTAAAGTAATCTCACACACAAAGGAATGCATACCCTCCTCTTATTGGCACAAAAGGAAATATAACAAAACAAACTCATACTTTTAATTTTTAGTAGCAGATATGAAATCCCTGGTGGCATCAAATAAGACTGCAGCCATAGATGGCTCAAACAACTCAACAACATGGTAACCATCTCCAAAGAGCTTGAAAGTTTTTATACCTTTCTCTTCCACAAAATTAGCAAAGTTGCGCGCGCCATCAACCAAAGGATCTTCAGAGACACCGGTTACAAGGATCCCCCAGCCTCGTGTGACCATATCATCTAAATGCTTTGACCCTCCGTTAAGAAATGGATTGGAATATTCATGATCATGATCTAGTGTTCCTTTTGGTAAGGACAAGTCAAACATCTTGTCAATTGCATGTAATGGCAAAAGTTGATCATCCTTTAGCTTCTCTTCAGATTCTGTCCTGTTTTTGCCACTAAAATATGGTTGATGCAAAATTAGCCCTTTGATCTTCACTGGCTCTAGTTCCTTGTATGATAAAGATGCTACGCGTAACCCTGTAGGTAAGGGTGACAAAATTAGCCCATAAAATCATGACTAGTTCAATACATTTAAATTTGGACGGGTTAATAGAAGGGATGTACTCTAATCAAAGCTAGCTATTCTCCTTGTTATTCCCTTCGTCCCAATTTATCTAATGTATAGTTTGACTAAGCACGTAGTTAAAGAAACATAAGAAGAGTACTTTGCAATGTTCCAAAATTAACCTTTAAAAGAGTACTACACCTATGTAGACTTCTTGCCAAATAAGTGAGACTCAAGGATAAACTATTGACTGTTGACTATATCGTTAAATATTTGTCAAATAAATGAAATGTGTAAATCATATAAATTAGGAGAAAGAGAGTAAATGATACCCCTTATCCCAAACATTTTTTGGCGTAAGTTTAAGACCACTAATTTAAATATACTACACATGATACTTTTAATTTGAAATCATAAAATTCAAAAGTTCCCCTGTACTTTTTAAACTCAGTATTCAATCAAACTAAGATACTTCCATTGGGACGGAGGGAGTAACTATAATAAACATAAATATTTACAGAATTGAACGCATCAATTTTAAATCTTGAATCCAAATAACTCTAATCAAGTACCTGCATGGTAAGCCATGTTTCCACCAGAACTGGATCCAAAAAGATAAACGTTACTCAAATCAGAATAATTTCGAATCCATTCATCTTGAGTTGATTTAATCCAATTTAACCCGTCAATGGCATCTTCGTAAGCTGCAGGGAGTCGATTTTCAGGGGCCAAACGATATTCAAGGGCGATAACCATCGCGCCAAGTTTCTCAGCAAGTGCCTGACAAAAGAGATCCCAACCATAACTATTAGCATGAAAGAAAACAAATCCTCCACCATGATAGTAGAAAATGACAGGCAATTTATCATCATCATGATTTGCAATTATTCGTCGTGGGACGTATATTCGTAGCCATGTTTTTTTGTTGATGTCAAGGTCTACGTCTTTAGATATGACTAAGGAAGTACCATTGGGATCAGAATTGGCTGGTATGAGGGGTTCAGGTTTACGTTTAATTGTATCATTTGGTAATTCTTCAATGTTGAAAAAGGGATTGTCAAAAATTGGACGAACAAATTTTTGGCTAGACATAATAATTGATCACACAAATATGTATTGTAGGAGGTTAGCTATATGTATTCTAGCTTAGTTTAGAGGGGTTATTATGTACTACATATATAGACTTATATAAGAAGAATACTGACAAGTGACAACTGGGAATTGTTGTATCGGGAATTGCGGTAATTATGTGTAATTTGTTCTAGATACATTGTATTCAAGTGGATTTATATTTATCTGATTTTCTAGCTTGCCTCTCTATTATCTTACTCTCTTCTCTCCTCTCTCGCTCGGATCTCTTCCTATGTATATGTATTTCAGAATGTATCTGGTATCCCAAATATATGTATCTAGTGTGATTCACATATATTTGGGATACATAGACTATCTCGATCGCTTCCCTCCTATCTCGTTCGACTCTCCCTATTTCAGTGTATGTGGTAGCAAAAATGGTGTATTGGAAATCTGGTATGAAATTATTAATTAGTGAGACAATATGTATTTATTTCAATCTACGGTAAAACCTCGCTAAATTAATACTCAGTAAATTAATAATCTCTGTAAGATAATATTTTTCTTCGGTCCCGACTTGGGCCAATGGAAAAAATCACTCATTTCGATAAGATAATAAGATAATATATTTTTAGAAGACCCCTATATAAATATATGGTCCCATTAATATTATAAATTAATAATTCTTTAAAATTACAAATATATCTATGATAATTTAGTGATATATGATTTTATTGTTTTTGTTTTTTATTAAAATTTAAATCTAGTTGAAGCTCGCCTCTAACTTTTATTATTGTATCCTAAAGTTTCGGTGTTGTCTTTTTGAACTACACCATAAAAATGCAAAGAGTTCAAGATGTGATAATTGTTGCCTTACGCGTAACTGGTTCCCAAGGTATTGTATCATCTTCAACATTGTTTTTCAGATAATATCTACAATTTCTTCTAAAATCGGGACATATGAATATGAATCTCAAAACTTTCTTTTAATTAATAAATATTAATTTATCGATTAAACAATACAACTACAAAATAATAATATTTCATGGTCCCAACTATATTAATTTAGTAAGATTTTACTGTATTGGAAGAATTATTAAATATGGTAGAAATGTTTGTCTAATTAGATAATTTTTCCATTTTTATTTTTGGCACTTTAACAATTAAACTAGTTGTGAAAAACCTATGATGTCAACTGCCTAATATTTGTTCACAAATTTATTATCTAAGTAGTGTCAATTAAATGATATTTAATTGGTCTCATTAAGTGTAAATAAATACATGATAACTATTATTAACATTGGTAAATTATAAGTGGTATTGATTGAATGATTTTAAAAAAATTCTCTAAAATAAATTATGATATATATTTGTGTGGTAGTAAATTATTTCACCGTTGATTTTTTACTCAAAATAATTACAAAATTTATGCAAATATACCAATATTCAAAGTAATAAAGCTATAACTAAAGGATATGGATATAAAATTAAAAGACATAGCTACAACGCGTCCCATAGTTTCAAAATTATTATAAACTAATTAAATCAAAATAAAATAAAATAATTTATTTTTTAATTTTTTCAAAAATATCCTTGCTTTAAGCCCAAAAATATGTAAATAAACCTTCTCAATAGTGAAAGACCAAATTAACCTTTTCAATAATTAAAGACCCACTTGAGAATTGAGATATCAATATCTACTTGCATATGTAAATAGTTCATAAAGACTAAATCAATCTTCTCAATCATATTCTTTAAAGAGAATACATAAAAGAAAAAAACAAGAAAAGTGACCCATCAACATTATTTAAAGAAAACGTCAAAAAATGTGTCAATATTTATCATCCTAAAATACAAATACAAATAAAAGATAGGGTCCACAATAAACTACAAATAAATAAATAAAGCAAAAAATATGAATAAAGTATTGGAAAAAAAGAGAGAGAAAAAGAAAGAAAAGGAGACTACACCATATCAATAAATATTAAAAATCAAAATTCAGATAACAACAAACAAAAAAGAACCACTACCAATTCTCCAACTTGAATCCTTCCGCTTCAATATAGTATTGCACTAGAAAATTTGAGTATTTGGGTTGAAAGTAGCCTTAAAAAGAGGAAAGAAGAAAAGAGAAAATTTGATGGATTAAAATTTAATTTTATCTAATAGAAAAGCGTTACGTAATACATAATAATAATAATAATTATTTTTTAAAAAAGCTTGTTAGTTATAAAAGATTGCTATCTAATTTAAAATGTGAACTAAAGGATATTTTTAGCGCAATAAATAAATTATATATATATATATATATATATATTGTTTGACTTAAAAGAAACTAGTCGTTTTTCTTGACTTTAGAATTGTTAAGGAATTCAAAGTTTGATTTTAATTGCTTAAATAATTTCAAGATAGGCTGCGGATCGAAGTGTTGATATTCCTAGAGCTACTGTTTAAAAAGGGAAATCGCACGTGGAGGTCCATTCGAGGATGATACTTTCAATAGAACGTTTTTCATATTCAAGGCTCAAATCCGACTATCGAGACCTCTTATATGCACTTCCAATTAAAGTTGATGCTTGTGAGATATTTTTTCATAAGTCCATCACAAGAAATTACACCCGAAGATTTATGTGAAATTAGATATTCATATTTATTTTGTTTTTTAATATTGATGTGCATTACAATTACCAATGCCTTGTAGCGATTTTCTAAAGTTATAAGTTGTAACTTACTTTTTATTAATGAATTAAGTAGGTTATAAAAAGACTAGTTATGAAATGGACTAAATTATTTATTACTATTACACTGGTTGGAATTAAATACTCATGTAATATTTATGGATAAAATTATTCGATTGTATATTAGGAAAAAAAATTGACATACTTTCGAGAAGCAAGAAAGTGGAAGGAAAAGAAATGTCAATTATAGTGTACGATAAAAGAAGACAACATGAATGGATAACTAACACACTCTTGTCTCTGTAACAAGTTTTGGATCTCAAAATTTAAACAAGTCTATTTTTATCGTAAAATTTTTATATATCTTTTAAATATTTTGAATTGTCAATTATTATGACTTCTATTATTTTTACGTAGTTTACAACTATATAAATTTAAATTTTAAAAAAATTAAAGATTCCACGAGTAAATTCTCGATAAAACTTAAACGATTTGAATCTCGAAAAATGAAATTTGTCACATAAATTGGAATTAGTGAGTATTATACTTGGTGATTTGATTAAATAATATATAAGTTCACATAAAAGATAAAACATCAAAATGTAAAGTCTAAGTGAAAAGAATTTGTTTATTGTAGATTTCATTTGATTGATAGTCGTCTTTCTTGACTATGATATAAAGTGGGATAACCAATATAACATTTAATTTTCATTCATCATTCACAGTCCTACTTCTTGACTTTAATTTACTCTGCTTTTACTTTATCAAATTTTCCTTTTTTAAGAGGCGCAAAGTCATTTAAGAGAACTATCAAATTGAAAGACTGTATTTCTTTTTAACCTTTGGAGTGAATATGTTCGCGCTTTACACGGTCATTAATTTATGTGTAACTCATAAAAATTTTACTAGTTTAAAAGTTAATAATTTAGATACATGTTAGTTTGCATTATTAACAATCTTATCAGAATTTAGTGCGTCCAAATACATGTATTTCATGATACATGGGATCAAAATTAAGTGTAATTTGTTCTAGACAGTGCCGGCTCTTGCCTATAAATTTCAAGGTCAATGCCTAAGGCCCCCAATTTTTGGGGGGCCTCAAATTTCTACAAATAATAAATTGTTTAATTTTTTCATAAAAAAATTAATTATTTATAATAAAAGTAATATATATATAT